GTAGCCGATCACACCCTGTTGCCATGAGAAGCGTTCTTAGCAAGTCAACGTGAAGTGAAGTGGAGGTTAAGAGCCAGTAATGGATACCAGGTGGGGACTACTTTAATGAATGTAATATTAACACCAATATTATTCAAGTCTTGAACAACAACATACTACTCATGTATGTTCTTCTTTTCTAAACGTATGCCATAAGCAGTGATTATGAAAAATGGGAATCTCCACCAATAGGAACATGCATGATTTGATTAAAATAAAAATATCAAACATTTAAATGATTATAGTATGTATGGCCATGTAATATGTGACATACTGTATACCACATGAAGTCTGGAATCCAGCCATTCCAAGTGAACTCAAGGCCGGTCTGGTGAATCACTATGTAACTACATAATTGCCACAGAATTCTGTGTTACCAGTATTAGTGATTGGCTGTCTCCATGACTTCAGTACATTACCATGGGAACCCACATGTGCAGACTTCTCTGTAGGTAATGCCAGCCCACAGCCCCCATACCGATTCACTCGTCTTTTATTCATAGATTTTTCAAAATCTTACGATCATATACGGCATCTAGTCTACCACATGCAGACATATTTAAATGATATTTACAAAATATTTGGGTCAGAAGTTTTTTTGCGAATAACTAAGAATTTTTGTAGATTCGGTTGCAATGAGTTTACAGCCTTCTAGTGTGTCATCAGAACCAAGTCACCATAAATTTGACAACTGCAGTTTCAAATTGCAACCTTCTTAATTTAATAAAACTTGATGAGAAGCATTTCCAATAGAATTGGTATGCAATAAGCAAACTTTAAACATGGATTATTTCCCACTTCTGAGGTTCAAAATTAGTTCATGGCTCACGGAGGGATAACAACCTCCAGCATTCTTAAAATGAAGGGAAACAAGATAATACAACAAAGTGTGTTATTTTATTAGATAATCCAACTTGACCGATACTCTTTCATGAACGAATGAGTTACTTTTATGCTTGCTTTGGAAATGTAATACATGTGTATCTTTAACTCTCACATGTGGTTTTTGATAATACATTTATTTTCAACGAAAACACCTAACATCATGCAATAGACATTTCCATTCTTAATAATGTGCATATTTCCATGCTGAATAATGTGTACATATCCATGCTTAATAATGTGCATATTTCCATGCTTAATAATGTGTACATATCCATGCTTAATAATGTGCATATTTCCATGCTTAATAATGTGTACATTTCTATGCTTAATAATGTGCATATTTCTATGCTTAATAATGTGCACATTTCCATGCTTAATAATGTGCACATTTCCATTCTTAAAAATGTGCATATTTCCATTCTTAAAAATGTGCACATTTCCATTCTTAATAATGTGCACAATTCTATTCTTAAAAATGTGCATATTTCCATTCTTAAAAATGTGCATATTTCCATGCTTAATAATGTACACATTTCCATTCTTAAAAATGTGCATATTTCCATGCTTAATAATGTGCACATTTCCATTCTTAATAATGTGCATATTCCCATTCTTAATAATGTGCATATTTCCATGCTTAATAATGTGCACATTTCCATTCTTAAAAATGTGCATATTTCCATTCTTAAAAATGTGCATATTTCAATGCTTAATAATGTGTACATTTGGAAATGGTTAATTAATTTGGCTTCAGTACAGTGAATGTATCTCAACACCATATCCCTCTTTGGAAGATCAACATTTTAACATTGAACTATAAAGAAAGAAATTCAAGTTGATTTTTACAGCAGATGTTTGGTTCGCACCTTTCATGCATTATGCGAGATCTCGCAGCGACCGAAAAATCACCTATTGTATGTAAGAGTATGTGCATCATACTGTAGACTTGCTTTAAGCCATAGTATGATAGAAATGTATGGCACACTACAGCTTCTAAAATTAAAGAGGGCTATGTTACTGAGACAAGTACTAGGCATCTCCAATGACTCCATGAAAGTCAAAATAAAGTGGACTACCAATACATAATACTTAAGTGCACACCGCCAGATATTTGATCTCCACAACAACAACCTGCCAGCAAAACAACATCGAGCTGTAGCTAGGCTTGCATAGCTATTAATACTGAGCTATCTTGTATCACACAGCCCACACATAATGCCGACTACCAGGGCACTCAACAATCTTGCAAATTAAATCTCTCAGCTCAGATCATGCATGCAGCACATAGGCACTAAGGGGACACTTTATGGCTTATGGTTATCTTGGTTGTCCTGCTAAAACAACAGCAGTGTGTTTTTCAAAGCTAAGTACCAGTAAAGACAGCAACATTTTCTGGCATGCAGCAAGCACTACTATAAAATACTTAATTTTCGTTATTTTCGCTAAAGTAATGATTCTATGAAAACATTCCGCGAATATACTTTTTTTCGTATATTTTACATTCAACTTGTCAAAAATCAGTGAAAATAAAATCCATACAAAACACCCAAAAAGGCTTTTCAATGAAAGTTAATTTCAGCTAAATAAAGTTTTTTACAGTATGTGTTATTATCCACATGTATTATTAAATTTTGCATGACATGAAACCAGACTCAAACTTTATCTAGTATCTGATTTACGTACTTATCAATATCAAATGACATTAAACAACAATTCAGGCTACAAACCACATACAGGACACATATTCATGAGGTTATCACCTGATATCATTTGTTCTAGAACTGGTTGATAACAGAGACAGTAGCAACCAGCTCTATCAATAAGTGATATCAGATAATAAGTATTAATCACATGACCAACTTTAAGTGTCAAAAAGTCAGATAAATCATATTTTCACAGAGCTACATTGTATACTCACAAATCATATGCTAATTTGTCCAATAATAACAGAAATAATACCTTTTTATTCAAAACGAAAGTTATTATCATGTGTCTTGTGCGTGATTATTTATTATCCAGTCGGAAGTTCATATCGTGACAATAAATAATAGTATTGACGCAAGACTTGTTTTTAAACATGCTTAAACTAATGATGAATATTATGAATACTGTGACATTTATCTTACCATATAAGCTTGTGACATTACACACTAAACATTACAACTGTGAATGACATGCACCACAGTCATGTGATAGTATAAATAACAATTCAGTCAAAATTGTGGTCAATCAGAAAAAAAAAACCTGTCCTCAGCAAATTGCTAAGAGAATAATTGGATGATGTTGCTAAAAAGATTAACAAGCAGTTATTTTAGGGATGAATAACACTTCATTAAGGTGTTCACGCTGTGCAAGGATTTCAAGGAATCTCAAGACAAACTAGGACAAAGAGATATAATTCACTTAAAGATACTTGATATTGTTTGCTGAAGCATTAAAGTTAGAGTCTGCTGCTTATGTAGGTATTTAAAATATTACAAGACGACCAGGACTGTCTCCATATTGTTATACATATGAATAGAAACACTAAATCTATCAGCAGTCAACACTTACTGTGCTAGTCCTTGTTGTGGTCCTGTGGTTAATTACCATTCACCCAACCAATATGCACTCTTGGTATTTTATGTCAAGAAGTATATGGTTCTCTTAGCAAAGATAAAAGTGAAATTGACTATAACCTAATGGTTCAATGGTAGCTATTGGGAATACAATGGATATATCCATTGGTAGAACCTGGGTTTGTGGGTAGAAACCTTGGTAGAAACTGGGTTTGTGGGTAGACCCAATGGTAGAAACTGTTTTAGTGGATAGACCCCTTGGTAGAGGCTGGGTCAGTGTGTAGACCCCATGGTAGAAGCTGTGATTGTGGGTAGACCCCATGGTAGAAGCTGTGATTGTGGGTAGACCCCTTGGTAGAAACTGGGTTTGTGGGTAGACTCAATGGTAGAAGCTGTTTTAGTGGATAGACCCCTTGGTAGAGGCTGGGTTAGTGTGTAGACCCCATGGTAGAAGCTGTGATTGTGGGTAGACCCCTTGGTAGAAATTGGGTTTGTGGGTAGACTCAATGGTAGAAGCTGTTTTAGTGGATAGACCCCTTGGTAGAGGCTGGGTTAGTGTGTAGACCCCATGGTAGAAGCTGTGATTGTGGGTAGACCCCTTGGTAGAAACTGGGTTTGTGGGTAGACCCAATGGTAGAAACTGTTTTAGTTGATAGACCTCTTGGTAGAGGCTGGGTTAGTGTGTAGACCCCATGGTAGAAGCTGTGATTGTGGGTAGACCCCTTGGTAGAAACTGGGTTTGTGGGTAGACTCTATGGTAGAAGCTGTGTTAGTGGGTAGACCCCTTGGTAGAAACTGTTTTAGTCGCTACACCCCATTGTTGAAACTGGGTTTGTGGGTAGACCCCATTATAGAAGCTGTCTTAGTGGGTAGACCCCATGGTAGAGGCTGGGTTAGTGGGTAGACTCCTTGGTAGAAGCTGTGTTAGTGGGTAGACCCCTTGGTAGAAATTGGGTTTATGGGTGGACCACATTGTAGAAGCTGTGTTAGCGGGTAGACCAAATAGTAGAAACTGGATTAGTGGGTAGACCCATGGTAGAAGCTGTGTTTGTGGATAGACCCCTTGGTAGAAGCTGGGTTAGTGGGTAGACCCCATGGTTGAAAACTGAGTTCGTTGGTAGAACCCTTGGTAGAAGCAGTGTTCGAGGGTAGAACCCTTGGTAGAAAGTGTGTTAGTGGGTAGACCCATAGTAGAAACTGGGTTAGGCCTAAAAAAAAAAGGTGTGTTTCAGGTAACGAGCTAGAAAAAAATAGGTAGGGTAGGTCAGATTTCTTTTTTTTTTTATTAATCTTTTTTTTTTGCATTCAAACAATTTCGACAAGTTGAAATACAATTTGCTGAAAAAACATAATTAGCATGAATATATCTGGGTCTTTATTCAATACCCAAATATTAATTGAATTTATATTTTGAGATGATAAATCTTTATATTGG